ACTTCTGTTCTTGTTTTCATTTGGCATAAGGACTTTGACATAAGTGAGGTTGAGGTTCTGGATAGGCTCAAGAGGCTGAAATCCAACAAATCCCTAAGATTTACATTGAAACAAACCATTTGGCCCAACTAGTCTGTGCCAGTGTTTATATTCCACATGAACCCACACACCTCCTATTCACCTCTCCTGTATCCCTCTATTCTCTTCTCCCTCATGTGTGCATTAGTTTCCTCTTACTGATGTTGATGCTTTCTGCTTCAGCTATGGCTTCTGACAGTGAGTCCCACGCTCTCACCACTCTGCGCAATGTCAATCCTCTTAAACTCCCTTTCAGATCTATGACCTACTATCTTATATTCATACTATCATATGCAGTATATTTATGAGATGTTTGAATTGTCCCCTAGGGTACTTAGGGAGACGAGGCAGAACATTTGTGAAGCACCACCAGATATTATGAGGGAGTCGATCCATACTGGTGAGGTTCCAACAGACTATAAAGCAAGCAGTGTTCCCATACTCAAGAAAGTTGACAGAACCATAGCTGACAATTACAGACCCTGTTCTCAGAAATAGGAAAATTGATGGACTCAAGTCATCAAAAAGAAAATGGAAGAATATTTGTATGAAAAATGTTTACATTTATATATAGTGTCTTTCATATCACAGCACTTCACAGTGCTGGATGGGCACCTGACTTGGTGTGGGAGCTGAAGGGGTGGGGAGGGGAAGGACTGCGGGATGGAGTTCCAGAGGGTGGGGGCAGAGTGGCAGATGACCCGCCTGCCAATAGTTGGGCGAGCAAGGCGGGGGACATGAAACAGGCTGGAGCCCGCTGAGCTGAGGGAGCGAGCAGGATGGTACGGGTTTAGGAGATCGCAGAGGTAGAGGGGAGAAAGACCATGGAGGGCTTTGAAGGTGAGGACCAGGATCTTGAACTGTATCCTGTGTTTGATAGGAAACCAGTGGTGTTGGGCGACGATGGGGGTGATAGGGTCGCGGAGCCTAGTGTGGGAGAGGACACGGGTTGCAGAGTTCTGGATGATCTGCAGCCTATGGAAGGAGGAGTTGGGGAGACCGACAAGCAATGAGTTTGCATAGTAGAGCCTCGATGTAATGAAGGCATGTATGAGGGTTTCAGCAGCCGGCGGTGTGAGACAGTGGCGGAGCCGGGTGATGTTGCAGAGGCAGGGGAAGGCAGAGTGGGTGATGGTGCAGATGTGGGGTAGAAAGGATAATGAGGGTCAAACAAGATGCCAAGGTTCCAGACTGGTGGAGCTTTGTAAGGTGGAGTGTGCAACCATGGATGGTGATGCTGTCAGGGCCTGAGGTGAGGAGGTGCTGACGGGAGCCAATCAGGAGAGCCTCGGTCTTGTTGATGTTCAACTGAAGAGAGTGAGCTCTCATCCAGGACTTGATGTCTGACAGACATTCTGTCAGGACAGCAGTGGTCCTGGAATCAAGGAATCAATTCAAGCAATCCACCAATCGACTAACAACTGGGTTCCTACTTACTGTTAGGTAAACAGAGGCGTGTGGAGGAAGGAAACTTAAGGTTTCACCCCCATCTGGGAATCGAACCCGGCTCCTCTTGCTTGCGAGGCAAGTGCTCTAACCACTACGCTATGGGACTCCATATGTGGTTGTTGAGCCCATTCGCCAACACTTCCAACTTATGTGATACAACTGTATGTAGTCACGAGAACAGGTGTAGAGAGAACAGCTCTTTTGGAGAGAAATAAAAAGTGTTACTATCTGGGAATGTTTACAGGGAGGTTTCATGTTGCTTACAACATTCATTCAGTTCCTAGTGTACTGAGACATCTTGTTCACCTGTACCATGATATTTAGGATCCACAGTAGATTCAGTTCTGACTGGTACCCTATTACTCACTTAGATCTTGCATTGTGAAAACCATCTTACATCCAGGTAAATAGCAACTCCTAAAATGATACGAGAGGCATGATTCATAATTTTTTTTAAAAATAAGGCTTTTACCAACTAGAATTGATTAGATACCATTAAAAATGCATGCAGGCTGAAAATTATTGAAACCGCTATCCAGGAAGACTCTAGAGAGCCATTGGAGCTGCCTTGATGGCTCAGTGAGTAAATGCATTGCACAGTGTGGTGTTTAACCACACTGATTAAGTTCTATCTTTGCCCAATATTGATTTCGCAGAGCACAGTTGATGCTGCTACAATGAATCACCATTGAGCTCAAGAGGGGGATAATGAGCCAGGTTTTTTGCTTTTTTGTAGTGACCCCATCCAGTAATCCCAATGACCATTGAGTCTCTTGCATATGTTGGGATCTGAAAGGTAATAAACTATGGCTGGGCAGACAGAAGCCAAAGGAATATCGGATGGTGACAAGATGTTGGATAGCAGTGAGGACAAGATCAATCTTTTCCCCAAGATTTGATAGCTTGCCCACACTCCTAGAGGTTTTATGTTGCTTATAGCATTCATTCAGTTCCTAGTGTGTTGAGACATTTTGTTCATCTGTTCCATGATATAAGGTCTTGAATAGCTGCTGGTGTTTCTGGAGCTGTACTCCAGCCTACATCACCACCATTTGAGCAGGAGGGCAGACAATAATAATAAACGTTACATTTAATATTGGGCATTCATGTGAGAAGGACATCTCAAAACGCTTCACAGAATTTATTGTAGACGAATACAGTATTTGTGCATAGCAAAGTCACACAAATCTGGAGGATTGTTGGCCAGGACATAAGAGAAACTCTCTTCTCTTTTCAAATAGTGCCATGGAATCATGAACATCCTGAACAGAGACATGGTTTAATGTCTGAAGGACAAAATGTGAATAAAGAGGAAGCTGTTAGGAAAGAGAAGCTGTGAGACAACATGCTCATTAGGAACAATATTGTCTTCACCACAGGACAAAAGAAAAATTAAATCCACATGCAGGTTGATTCCCAGATAGAAATAAATGTTTCACAAAATAGTAGCACTTCTGTTCCAGGGCAGAGAGCCCTTAAAACCCTTTGTCAGGATTTGTTGTGGTGTGAAGAACAACAACTTGCATTTATACAGTGCCTTCCAGGTGGAATAGTGTCTCGGAGCACTTAACACTGGTGGAACTTGACACTGAGCATGGAGAGACAGGAGGTAACCGAAGGCTTGATAAAAGAGGAAGGGCTTCACATGCAATCTGAAAACAAACAATAAGGCAGCGGGATTGAGGCAGGGAGTTCCAGAGTTTTGGAGTTAGTGGCTGAAATCATGGCCACTGATGGTGGAGTGCAAGGAATGAGGGATGAGTAGAAGGCTGGAGCCAACTGAGCGAAGAGGGTAGGTAGTTGATTTGTAAAGTTTAGTATCTGATTTTTACCAATTTTAAAGGTATACTCTCCCAGCTATTAACAGGCAGAGTAAAACTTGGGTCAGGATTGTTCATTGGTATATACCATGCACATTTGAGAAAACAAGACTTAACTTAAAAATGAAACGATGATAATAAAGCTTGCATTTGATATAGTGTCTTTTCAGGTCAGGGAGCCATCTCGTCACTGCACAGGATTTACTGAAAGGATAAAATATTTGCTAATTTTATGAGAATCCAGTTGTGAATACAATGACATGAACTTGTATTTATAAAGTGCCATTCACTCTGTGTAGTGTCTTGGAGCACTTTTAAGCGAACAAATGTACTACAATCACCAGAGATCTAAGAAAATGTCAAAGCCGCTGAATGGTCTATACCTGTTCCTGTTTCTGTTCTTGGTTTGATTGGAAAAAGCATGTCAGCTCATAATACTTCTGTTTATAGGAGACAGAGAGAGGCAGGGGACTAAATTAAGTCTAGTGGCTATAAAGGGATTATTGAGAGATTACTGAAAAGGTAAGTGCAATTCTGGATCATAGGTAGAGGGGTGTCTACTTATGTGAATTGCATGCACATCTTAATACAGGATAAAGCTCTATTATGTGCCTTGCTAGTGTGAAAGCTCAGATATAACACGGTTGCTGGCTTTCTGGCCAGTTACAACAACAATTTGTATTTATAAAGCACCCTTCTCGGTGCACTTAACAATGGCAGAGCTTGACACCAGGTGGGGAGACTGCTGTCAATTGCCATTTTGCCAAGATTACACTGCAGTAGGTGCAGTATCCAGCGCTCCGGGACACTACCCCGCGTGAAGGGCGCTATATATATGCTTGTTGTTGTACCTGTACAGTAAAGAAGGTTAATGTCTTTTTGAAAATTGAGATTCTATACAAATAGAGCACAGCAACAAAATAGTAATATGATCAAATTAAAGGGACTGTTGATTATAATTTTCTATATATACAGGTCAGACAAATATTGTTTAAAAAGTTTTTAAAAAGTTAATATGATCAATAAGCGGATCTACCGAGCAGCAACCTATACGGACTGCATGGCAGCTCACACCCAGGTCTTCGCGTGATTTAACACGGATTGACAAGTGGACTTGACCACACGGTACAGAAGAAATTATTTTTTGAGATCACAGTGGGTTTACAGGAGATATTGAATGACAGGGTTTTACAGCACAGAGAGGTCACTTTGTCTATTTTTTCTTTGCTGGCTCACTGGAAGAACCATCCATTTGGTTATCCATTAAGATCTTCGAGATGCTGCCCTGCCCTTTTAGTTTGCTCTTTTCAAAGAGCCGGCACAGACTCGATGGGCCGAATGGCCTCTTTTCGTGCTGTACGATTCTATGATTCTAAGAACCCTATATAAATGCAAGTTGTTGTTGTTGTGTCACTCCCCTGCCCTTTCCTCACACCCTTTTGATTTTTTTTCAATTATTTGTTCAATTCCTTTATGTTAACTATCAATGATTCTGCTTCAATCACTATTTTTGTGACAGAATATTACAAGTCGTCAACACTCTGAAAGTATTTAAGTGATCGTATCTGAAGGCAAATGAACAGATTATTGCTCTGTCATTTGGTCCTGTTTTGAATATAATTGATATGTCTTGTACAATCTGCTCTTTTGCAGTATGCATTTATGTCAATAAACACGCCTGTGCTGGTCCACACCTTGACAAAAAGAAGTTGCAACTGCTTCCGGATCATTTTGGACCTGCAAGAGCATCGATGGTCCTGCAGCAGGCTGTTCAAGCATGCATTGACTCTGCCTATCAGCAAAAAGCTGTCTTCTCATGTCTCAAGCAAGGGCATGGTGGGGAACTGATATCAGGTGAGTGATTAAATATGCTGAAAATAAATTGTGTGAGGTACAAATAAGCATTCATGGTAAAAACAGAGCCTTTCTTATGCTCTCAGGTCGAAGACTGGGATTAATTTGTGGTTTTAGTAAAGATTGGATTGGGGTCATGTTATATCTGAAGTGCTATCACAGTCTAGGGATCTGTTTTACTAACACTTAAAATTTATTTGGGTTTTTAAATGAATCCTTCCTTGCCTCTGTGAAGTAAGAATGTTATGTGTATTGTCTGGGAGACAGTACAGAGTTTGACTCTGCCTGGTGTTGGTCTGATCTGTCCCACCCGATCCGCTACCGTAAAGAGGGGACATTAAAGGGCATATTCACCTACAAAATGCAATCATTACACACTTTTGTAGGTTCAATAAACCCCAGACGGAATCGAGAGAGACACAATATGACACAATATAGAAGTTCAACAGGTTTACTTCTAATCTTGTGAACCTACGATTTTCTGACCCAAAGGCAAGAGTCGAGCTGATATCTTGTCTTGTGACAAATGCAAGAAAATGTTTTAAAAATATGTCAACATTTATTGCATGACGCAATGAGATTGCCTGTTTTACAATCCAACAAACATAACAGATCTTCCAATTGACATCAGAAATTCTTTGCTTGCTTTAATGTTTCTATTGAAAGCACATGCGTAGATCGCCATCTAGGGTTAACACATGCAAACTGCACAAAAGCCACAATCATATAGTCTCATCCTGAACCATTTGCTGGTGGTTGTGGTGGTGAGAAGAGAAATTGATAGACTGCAATTCATTTCAGTAATTTGGAATATAATATTTGTTATTATTGTTGTGATAAGTATATTGATGTTTACTTTTTAACCGGGTTATATCTGGCTATATTTTGAGTGATTATTTCATCAAAAACAGGTTTACAATATCCTGTTAAATATGTTATTACACAGATGTGAGTGCATATTATACTGGTCAAATAATTTCGAGCAACAATGGGAATTAACCATACCCAAGTCACTAATCCCTCACTATAAATGTTATGGTGAGGGACACTATGACATATCACTGTCATAGTGTCAAATGTCATAAATGTTTATAAATCTAGTGGAGTGCTGTACCTCAGTGGTTAGAGCACTCACCTCACAAGCGAGAAACCTGGGTTCGATTACCGGCAGGGCGAAGCCTTGGGCATGTTTTCTTATGCCACATGCCTGATAATCCCTCAAGAAAAAAAAATAATAATTTAGTCACTCAATCCACGACTGTTTGTGGGACACTGCTGTGCGCAATTGGCTGCCACGTTTCGCCCACAAATATGCAGTCAATTCACTTTACAGTATATTCTGTGAAGCGCTTTGAGACGTCTAGAAGATGTGAAAAGTGCTATCTCGAATACAAGGATTGTTATTATTATTATTGTCCATTAATGACATAGAGCCCACTACTATCTGTCTTCCACACTGACAGCAACAGCTTCCAGCACACACTCAGGAATTGAACAGAGTAAAATAACAGCAATAAATGAAAATTGTGTGCATGTATGTTACAACACGGAAGAAAACATAGTGTAGAGTGATTTTTAAAATTAAATTTAAGGGGAATTTGACAAGGCAAATTTCCACAAATTAATGTGATGAGTTTGATACAGTAGTTATATAAGCAGTTACAGTGGTAACCACTTCACTAATTTCTGTTAATGATGCAAAAAACAAAGATTTTTTCCCCCTCAGTGCCTACGTGCCAATAAAAATAAAGTTATTAGACAAGGTACAGCATCAGTAACACATCTGCCCCATTGTGTGGTGGAAGAACCAGGATTGATGTGTAATATCTAGTACCTGGGGTCTTCTTGTTAACTGTACATAGACTAACAATAAGGTACATGCCTGTCCATCACTGAATGCAATTGCCAGATTGTCCGGGCCCTCCTTCTGGTTATATTTTGGGGTTATGTTTTCCTGTCCACTAACTTACACCCTTACTTTAGAAAACATTAGCTGTATTTTAAGCAGTAAAATCAAGTTGTCAAAAATGTGCGCAGTCAGAATCTCTGCTTAGTGGTCCTTCACATCCGGTTCTGTATGCCTCTTGTTCTTTGTGTCCTTCTCCCCTCCTTTTCTCTCCGGCTGGGATAGAGTTCCCCATATTGCAGCAGGTACTGCTGATTCCTTCCCCTAGTGCTCATTCTTTGTGTGTGAGCTCAGAAAGTGAGGTTTGGCGAGCTGCTCAGCTCGGGGAGGAAGAGTGATGGATGAGAAGGGTAGGTAGTTCGCAGATGAGTCTTGTCCTGCCTCACCTGACATTCAACACACATCCACTTTCCACTGGTAGTTGGGGGGGTGGTAGGGGTTGAGGACGTGATAAGAAGCAGGAACCTTGGAATTTTTTTTCAGGGACATTTGTGCCGCTGTTGTCCCAGCTGAGATCAGCACTGACATTACAGTCAAGTACCTCACTGTCTGATGCACTGCACAGACTTCTTATTCTGATTTGGTTTGCTTGACACAACTGTTACAGCACAAAGGTCTTACATTGGAGAAAATGGAAGTGGAAAGTCAGCTCATTCAGTGTGCACGTACCTAGAGGCCAGTATGGGAAGCGTTGACACAGGGGAAACACATCCTCGAGCTAGTTAAGACATCAAACTTAGAAAAAGAAATGCCAGAGAGACTAACTGTACAAGGTTGGAAAGATACGAACGTCCTGAGAAACTGAATGAACAGCTGCACTGGAAAAACACAGGGAATAGAAGAAAACAATAGGCAGCACAGTGCCTGATGTGACAACTGTATGTCTCAGTAAATAATAATAGCAATAATAATCCTTGCATTTGATATAGCACTTTTCACGTCTTCTAGAGTCTCAAAGCACTTCACAGAACAGACTGTAAAGTGAATTGATTGTATATTTGTAGGCGAAATCGGCAGCCAATTGCACACAGCGGTGTCCCACAAGCTGTCGTGAATTGAAGTGACCAATTTATTATTGCTTTTTTTGAGGGATTATTATCAGGAATGTGGAGTAAGGAAACTTGCCCAAGGTTTTGCCCTGCCGGGAATCAAACCCAGGTCTCTCGCTTGCAAAGTGAGTGCTCTAACCACTGAGCTGCAGGACTCCAAATGTACTGCTTGTCATCATAATTGTAAATGCTATTAATAATAATAGTAATTTTAATCCTTCTATTTGATATTGTGTCTTTTCACGTTGTCGAGACGTCTCAAAGCACTTCACAGGATATACAGTAAAGTGTATTTTGTGAGTGAAACCTGGCAGCCAGTTGCGCATAGCAATGCCCCACAAACAGCCATGGAGAGAGTGACCAATTTTATTTGGGGGAATTGTGGCCAGGACACCGGGAGAAACTTGTCTTTTTAAAGAGTGGCTTGGGATCTTTAACATCTACCTGAACAGACAGACTGGACCTCGGTTTAATGTCTCACCCAAAGGATGGCACCTCCGACAATGCATTGGAATGTCATCTTAGACTATGTGAGTCCCAAGGTGGGTTTTTAACCCACAGCCTTCTGACTCAGAGGCAAAATTGCGGAGCCAGGCTGACACACACATTCTATTAATTTCTAACCAGGAAAGGGAAACTGGAAGGAGATCTGTGTCAGGATTTGAATGACTTTCAGGCACTGGAGTTTTCAACTTTGCTACGTCTGTTCCGCTTAAGTACATATCCCTGTAGCGCAGCACATTGGTCCTCAGAAGGCAACATTTCCATCCTTCATTTCTATGGCTAGGAGGTTCTGTTGTGTCGGTTGTACAATGAGGATAATTTTGGTGTTTGCATCCTACAATGCTTCTCTCATAGTCACAAATGTGGATCTGACTGCCTCAGTATTTGTGACATGATGTGTGTGGGCAGTAGGATGTTGTAGTTATAATATAGCATCCACATCAGTCAATCCATTTGTCAAACTGAAAGTGCATGGTGATAGATTTGATGCTGTTTTTGCTGTCAATGAAAGAGTATCAAGGTGTGAAACTAAGCCACTATGAAACACTATCCCATATCTTAGTTACACATATCTCTTGTAGGTGTCATTGTTACTTCCGTTCACTTTTCCTGATAACATTATATTGTGATTGTTTGTGAGGTGAGTTTGCTCTCATCAAAGTGAGGGATGTTAATACAGAGAAGTTACAAAGAGTTACCATGAATGCACAGCATGAAAACAGGTGCCATCGCTGTCTTATATTTGTCTCCTGATTACGGACTCCCCAACCAGTGGAAACAGCCTATTTATGTTAACCTTATCAAACCCTTTTATAATTTTAAACACTTCTATTAGTTTCCTCCTTAAACATCTCTTCTTTCATGAAAAAAGCCCATCTTATCCTGTCTATTCTTATAGCAGTAACCTGCCAGCGCTGATATCATCCTTGTAAACCTATGATGTGCTTTTTCAATTGCTACTATATCCTTCTTTAGCGTGGAGACCAGAATTGAACGCAGTGCTCCAAATGTGGTCTAACCAATGGTGGGAGATGCAGTATGTTTCAGGGAGTTTGGACATCAACCATTCCTAGGTCAAGTATAACAGTCAGATACAGAAGAAATGACTGTTACTCTATCCCAATCTCAGACCAACATTCCCCACTGAACCTTTTCCGCTTTCCAACATACTTTGTCCAACAGGCAGGGTGCTAGCAGGGAAATGTCATTCAAAATTGAGTTTTATGAATGTACAGTTGGATTGCAACTTTTTTGTTGAGAGAGATTTTGCAGGTTAATGCCAATGTTTAAAGATGTTCAGTGTCGTGCTTTCTGTTGCATTAGCTACCTTTGATGGCGAGCAGCACACTCTGAGCTTGCCAGCTGTGAACAGCATTGTCTTTATCCTGCGCTTCCTGGAGAACCTCTGCCACAGCCTGCACTGTGACAACCTGTTCAGCAGCCAGCCCTTCACCATATACAACACAACTTTGCACACTCCTGTGGAATATGAAAACGACCGGATGCAGGGAGGTAGGTCACTGGAAATGACCCTTTGTTTAAGCTGACCTGCCCTGTCATTGGGCCTTAGACTTGTGTTGCTACTGATTGTTTCTCTTCAGGTCACTGAAAGGACAATAACACTGCCCAACCAATTTCTTCCAATGAATTGGAGGTACATCCTGAGATATGCTGTCCTTCCGAGAACATGTTGTTTTCCTGTAGTTTCCTTAACTGTGATATGTGACACAAGATCATGAGAGGTTGGGATGAAAAAANGCTCTTAGACCCATTTCATCTGCTTTGATATTAATAATACTGTCTTCCTGTTACAGCATCAAGCAGTTCAATAAATGAGCCCAGCTCTCAATCCTTCCTAGTAACATGTTAATTGCACTCTATGTGCATGAACTACATAGAAGCCCCTTCCCCTCACCACATGTACCACAGCATTCAGTTCATCAGCCTGTAGCTGCCATTACAATGAAGAATAGTTTTAGTTACACACAGAATTGGCTCCACCTCCTTGGCCCTCTACTCACAGCACTATTCCTGTCCACTAGCACGATTCCCACCACTCTAAAAACGGCCATCATCACTCCTATCTCAATAAACCCTCCCTGGACCCATCCCTGCTCTCAAACTACCACCTCATCTCCAATCTCCCTTTCCTTTGCAAGGTGCAAAATACTGCAGATGCTAGAAATCTGAATCAAAAACAGAAGTCGTTAGGAACACTCAGCAGGTCAGGCAGCATCTGTGGAGAAAGGAAAGTGAGTCAAAGGGAAGTTCTGATGAAGGGTCATGGACCCGAAACGTTGACTCACTTTGCCTGACCTGCTGAGTGTTCCCAGCGACTTCTGTTTTTGTTTCCTTTCCAAGATCCTGGAATGAGTCGTTGCTCCCCAGCTTTGCTCCTTACTTTCCTGCCACTCCCTTCATGGACCCCTCCAATCGGGTTTCCTTGCTGCCCACAGCAAAGAAGTAGCTTTGGTCAAAGTGACCAGGGCTCCCTCTGCCTCCTCGTCCTCCGTGCCCTCTCTGCTGCCTTCAATACTACTGACCACTCTTGTCTTCCTCCACTGCCTCTCCTCTCACCTCAACCTTCATGGTTCTGTCCATGAATGGTTCAAATCCTACCTCTCATACCGTCTCCACTTCATCTCCACAAACAGCTTCTCCTTTAGCCCCCGCACCGTCTCGTGCGGCGTTCCTCAGGGTCCTTGGTTACCTCCTCTTCAACATCTATATGCTCCCTCTTGATGACATCATCCTCAGACATGGGGTCAACTTCCACATGTATCCAACTGTACCTCTCTGCCTCCACCCTTGACTCCAGGACCACTGCTGTCCTGACAGAATGTCTGTCAGACATCAAGTCCTGGATGAGAGCTCACTCTCTTCAGTTGAACGTCAATAAGACCGAGGCTCTCCTGATTGGCTCCCGTCAGCGCCTCCACACCTCAGGCACTGACAGTATCACCATCCATGGTTGCACACTCCACCTTACTAAGCCAGTCCGGAACCTTGGGGTCTTGTTTGACCCTCAACTATCTTTACCCCACATCCGTGCCATGACCCGCTCTGCCTTTCCCCACTCCAGGCCACCGAAACCCTCATACGTGCTTTCATTACATCGAGGCTCAATTACGCAAACTCCTTGCTTGTCGGCCTCCCCAACTCCTCCCTCCATAGGTTGCAGTTCATCCAGAACTCTGTAGCCCGTGTCCTCTCCCGCACCAGGCTCCGTGACTCTATCACCTCCATCCTCGCCCGACTCCACTGGCTTCCCATCACACAGAGGATACAGTTCAAGATCCTGGTCCTCACTTTCAAAGCCCTCCATGGCCTTGCTCCCCTCTACCTCTGTGACCTCCTAACCCCCTACCATTCTGCTCGCTCCCACCGCTCACCGGGCTCCGCTCTGCTTCACGTCGCCCACCTCGCCTGCCCCACCTTCTGCCCCACCTTCTGGCCTTCTGCCACTCTGCCCCCCGCCTCGCCCCCTCCCTTGTCTCCTTCGAAAACCATCTCAAGACCCTCCTCTTTGACCGTGCCTTTGGTCTCCCTCCTTCCCTACCTGCCCTCCACCCTCCCGATCCTGACCCCCAGCTTGGGTCCGAAATTCCGATTGTCCAGTGCCTTAGGACGTCCTCCTGACGTGAAATGCGCTATACAAATGTAATTTTGTTGTTGCTGTTTAATGGGTTCCCCTCTGAATAATTTTAGACATTGGAAAAGATTATGAAATGGGGTGAGGGAATAATTTTAACCTTTCAGTCCCTATCTCTTTCACAAGTTAATAGTTCATAAAGCTTTTCTGTAATTCTTTATATTAAAACACACTCAGAGCCCGTATAAGCAAACCAGGTCTCCTACTGGTCTCTCCTGGTCTATTAGCAATATACAATATAAAAGTGTGGAGGCCTTAAAAAGCTCTGTCTCTTTTGGTAAGTGGCAAGTTTAACTTTTCTGACATTTGTACAGTGCACTTCATGATGTATTATAAAATAGGCAATAAGCAATTGAATCAAATATGCAATACAATTTATATTATAACGCCTTTCACATTCAAAGAACATCTCAAAGCATTCAACTCTGCAGGCTGAGCACTCGAGCTGGGGCGTGGAGATATAGATTTAGGGGACAGAAATAAATCTGAATAATTTAGCGAGGATGTACAACACAAGAATAGAACAGTCGGTAAGCAAGAATAAGTCAAAAGACTTTAAAATATTCTTACATAATATTCAGCAGACCCAAAGAATTAAATATTCTTAAAGATATTTGACAAATTAAAACCCAGCAATGATAAGCCATTGACAATGCTTTATCTCCTGGATAACAGAGGAAACACTTGTTTTTGAGTACAGAAAAGCTTCTTTTGAAATTCCCTTTCTCAGGGTCCAGATAAGAATTAATGTATCACTTTTGATACAGCTTGTCCACACTTAACTCAGATCATAAAATTACATCAACACACAAACCTTCAAATTTTGTTCCAATTGGTGTCAATTACCAAATTCCAGGACCTGGTTTTCCAATCTTCCTTCAACGTTCCTTACCAGCAGAAAGCAGACCTGTTAACCCTGCAAGCCAAAGCCGTGACAGATGAAATGGTTATAGCTAGACATGTGGTAGGAAACTTGCCAGACTCTGCTGTCCATGGCAAGCTATGTACTTTTAGCTGGTTTAACTCCAACAGTACCCCAGTGTACACTCTGGGGTCAATAACCCTTGACTCTCGCTAACCTGCGCTTAATGCGTTTCAGACGTAGGTGATCAAGGTAAGAACCTCCAGGGAGAGAGTGTGCAGTTCATTCCAGACACAGAGAAATTTCCATTCATTCATCGAACTATCTTAATAGTTTGATGTGGATACTCTTATGGTGATGGGGTTCTGTGTGTGTCAGACACTCGGCTGACCAAAAAGAATGTCCTCAAATCTTACTTAGGAATTGATTACAATAATAATAAGAATTATTGTAACCTGCCTTCTTCAGCTTTGCAATCTACCACCTTTATTAAATTGGCGTCATTTGCAAACTTAGCCACTGTGCTTGGGACTCCTAGCTCCTAGATCATTTATAAAAGTATTAAACAACTGAGGTCCCAAAACAGACCCTTTTGGATTCCACTGATACCATTTTTCTCATCTGATGACTTTCCCTGTACCACCACCCTCTGGGATTTTCTGGTCAACCAGAGAATAAATAGTCTACCAGGGTAAAGGTTTCTGCATGACTTGGCCATGAACTGCTCCATGGAGGTTGCTGCCAATCTTGTCTTAGTACCATAAATTAGAATAGACCAATATCCTACAGCTTCCCTCTGGATTACATTCTAGATTCCCATTCTAAGTGAGGAAGCAAAACTATGGTGTTTAACCTCAGTATCGACCATTCAATCACTGACTATTTCAGCCAGCAGGGGGCACTGTGCTGACTGCAGGGACGATAGCACTGGTCCCTTACGGTCCTTTGTCACATCGTTGAGACGTCTCAAAATAACATTCTACATCCAGACATACTTATGCTCATGGTGTATCTGAACAAAGGTCTGTACAAATAGCTGAGCTGACGTTTAAAATGTAAATGATTTTGGGAAGATACAGCTCTCAATTTAAGCTGTGCACTGAATTAGAACCAAAATGAATGTTATGAAGGAAACAATTCAGTTAATGTGCACCAGCAAAAGCCAACAAATAAGATGAGTGGTTAGTTTAATTAGAATTTTTGTTGTGAATTTGGGTGAAGAGAAATGAAAGAGGTCGCTTCATGTCTCCCTGGATTGCACAGACAGTGGTAATGTTAGTATACCAAACGCTCAGCTTCCCTGTATTTCACTGTGAACCACAGCACTGTGCTGAAGTAACTAAGAACAAAACACACCAGATGCACAGACTGAAATGGAAAGTGGTTTAATTACTTGACTGAGGAGTGGATGGAAGTGAGTCTAGTATACACATACCAGTTATATCTTCGAGGACAGCTGAGCAGTGAGGTGAGGAGCTGGTAATTTGAGTAAAGGTCATGCCACGTGTTCTGCTTTCACTTTCTAAGAAGAAATGCCACATCGCTTGGCATTATGAGACATGATCAGCATAATTGTAAAACAAAATCTCAACCAACAACAACTTGCATTTTATAGCGCCCTTCACGCGGGATAGCATCTCGGAGAGCTTAACAATGGCGGAGCCTGATGCCGAGCCAGGGCGGGCAGGAGGTGAATCTAGACATATGAAACCCATGTGAAGCCCACCATCTGTTGCCTTGACTCCCTCCCCACCCAGCTGCTGGTCAGCCAATTCCCCCTCCTCTGCCCCTGGTGGATGACACAGTTAATGTGGCCCTCTCCTCAGGCTCCATCCAACTCAAAAAACACTTGTCACCATTTCTCTCCTCCAACCTGATAAACTACCAACCCATTTCTAACTTGCCTTTCCTCACTAAAGTTCTGGGACTTGTTGTTGCTTATCAACTTCGCTCGCACCTCTCCCTCCACTCCCTTCTCGAGCCTCTGCAGTCTGGGTTCCGCCCTGCTCACAGCACAGAGACAGGACACATTTTATTTGGGGGATTGCTGGCCAGGACACTGGGAGAAATTCCCTTCTCTTTTCAAACAGTGCCATGTGATCTTAACGTCCACCTTAACAGACCGAGTAAAACTTTATTTTAATGTCTAATCCACAGTGCGGTACCTGCAACGATGCAACACCCACCCCCAATGCGTTGGAATGTCAGCCTGGACTGTGAGTTCAAAATCCCGCGATGGGGCTTGAACCCACAACATTCTAGCTCAGAGTCAAGATTGCTGCTGAATGAGCCAGGTTGACACCTAAAAGGGTCACACCTGGGTTCAAGCAGGTCAAACAGTAATAGGTCTACAAACTCTCTTAGCCAGCGTCACATTTCTGTACAGTGCTTTCCTAATTTAGAATTGAAGGCATTGCCGGCTATGTGACTTGTGTCTTGGAGTCAGTGTGATTCACCCGAGGTGAAAAATGCTGCTAAAATCTGATGAATAATCAATGGCAAGATATAGTTTTGTCTTACATTTTGGAACATGACTCTTTAACAGGTTGGAAAACTGTATGCTTCTGTGCAAATATTGTCAATATAGAGTTTTAAACGTAATGGGAATATACCCCTGATCAGTAAGGAGAACGGAAGCCCACAATAGGATTTCTTTCATATATTGAGTAAATTGTTTGTATTTCCTGAATTGTCTGTGCATCTGTGCAGCTGAAGCTGGGATCTCAGAGGATGAACTAATGGAACCAATAGAGCACAGGTACGGAGTGGATTCAATGGACTCTCCTCTCCACTCAATCAATCCCCCAAGTCCATCAAGGCGTAACTCTGGAGAGTACAGGAGTGTAGGGAGCACCTCGTACAGCTATCGCTCATCCTTCCAGGCTGCTTCTGGACCTCCCTCCGCAGGCTTGCGCCGACTTTCCTCAAATCCCAGTGGGGGGGGAAGCTTTTACGAAGGGAAAGGGAACAATAACACAGGTCAGTTCCACCTTGTGTTGATCACTCATGACACTTCTCATTTGAAGTGCAACAACATAATAATAATAATAACTTGCATTTGATGTAGTATCAACAAAACATCTCAAGGAGCAAGGAGACTATTTTTATTGGTAGGCAAACCTAACAGTCAATACCAGGACCTTCGAGAACCCCGGTTTAGCATCTCATCCGAACGATGGCACCTCTAACAATGCAGTGCTCCCCAACATTGCAATGGAATGTCAGTCTGGACTATGAGTAATCCTGAACATGTGTTGGAGCAATATTTATTTGATTGATACTACAAAAACTCAACCGAGTCAAAGCCCACCACCCTCTAGAACTGACTGTGTCAGCTCCTTCGAATCGCCCCCATTCTATCGTGTCTTTAAAAGTCACATAAACACCTACTGTGCCCTATGGTAATCTCCCTCTTTTTCCCCCTCCCGCTCAGTGTCCAGCACCGTCTTTATATACTGCTCTCTATGTAAAGGGCACAATATAATTGCAAATTGTTGCAATTTGTTGTTTAACGTATATAGATTGGTATAGTTGTTTAACGTATATAGATTTGAATATACTTTAAATTAGTATATCCCTCCACCACTCTGTCTCACCCTTCTCCTTATCTGTCTTTAAATTCCACCTGAAAAGCAAAAACGATTGTGGTCCTCTCTCTCTCGAACCAACAACATCCAACCCTGTTTTTGGAAAGAGTTGTGAACATCATCCGTTGTGAATGCAAGTTGTTACTGTGTTTATGCAAAATATTGTAAACCCTTTAGTGATGTACCATATTACTTCGGGTGGATGACAAAGACTTTTGATCACAAGGTGGGAAATAATCAGTTCCAAATTGTATGAAAATGGGACCAAAAACTATTTCGTTTTCAGTACTGTATTCCTGCTTAATAATAGTAATCCTTGCATTTGATATGGCACCTATAACATCAAAACATTTCAAAGCACTTCACTGGGAACTGCTGTCAAATATATCAATCATATCTGTAGACAAATAAAACAGCCAATTTGTGCGCCATATGTCTTAGAACAGCCATAAAGTGAATTACTAATTTATCTGGAAGATTCTTGGCCAAGACACCAGGAGAAACTCGCTCCTCTTTTCCAACAGTGACATTGGATGTTTAATGTCCACATGAACAGACAGGAGGCACCTTGGTTTCATGTCCCTTTTGAAGGACGACACCCCCAACAGTAAGGTTTGTGCCAGTATTGCAATGCATTGTCAGCCTGGATGTGAGCTCAAATCCCAATGTGAGGCTTGAACTCGCCACCTTCCAACTGAGAATGCTACTGAGCCAAGTCGACCCCTGTTTGTTCATTGAGAATGCCTTGATCAATTTTTATTTTATATTTTGTTTATATTGCCTCTTGGCCTTGTTAGAGTAATTGTACTAATTTTCCTGCTTTCTTTCCTTCCTCAGCGTCTAATCCCACTGCAGGCTCTGAACGACATATGCTTCCTCCAGACCTGCTACGGTCAATGAGCAGGGATCCCTCAGCCTGGACTGTGGCAGACGTGATGCGCTTTGTCAGGGAAGCAGACCCACAGGCGTTGGCCCCGCATGCAGAGCTTTTCCGAAAACATGTAAGTGTTGGCTCCTGGATGAGAAATGTTTCTCTTTACTGATGTAACACAGCGTTGAAATTCCACTCACTCTTAGCCTGAAGCACCACATTGTATTAAAATTTAAATATCATGCAAATTTGTAAAAAAAAACTTAAATTCAATCTTAATTTAGATGTCATGTGTACTGAGTTCTGAGAAAGAAACCAGTTTCAATATTAAGAATGAATTTCAGCAGTTTCCATCATTCTGTGCTGTCTTACATTTTAAGACAAAGTCTTACAGCCTTAGAGAAGGGTGGAATTGTGGGCCTAGGTTTTGCTAATTCACCTCTGTGGTACTGGTCGCTAGTAAAACGACCAGCTAATTAAGATTAATCTTAAGAGCCTGAGATGTATCCTTAAAACAAATGGCAAAATACTGCAGGTGCTGGAAATCTGAAATAAAAACAGAAGTTGCTGAGAATACTCAGCATCGATGGAGAGAGGATAGTGAGTTAACGTTTCAGGTCGATGAGATGTGTTCCCAGCGACTTCTGTTTTTATTTAAGATGTATCCTTCTTGTCTTCCAACCACTTGCCCCTCAGAATCCTTGAACATGTCAGCGATTTGCCTCAGCCACCAATTGTGAGCAGAGACAAGTGCAGGGTTTTAATTCTTCCTCTGAAGCCTTTGATGGAAAAATCTAAACTACCAAATATATTCTAGCGACAGACACACTTTCAAAGCAAGAAAGAAAATCTTTTTACTGCAATGTATGTTCCACCAGTGTTTAAGACCTACTGAAAAAATAAGTCAGGGTAGTGTAATACTTAATCTTTTATCAAGATCGACAATAATAATAATAATCCTTACATTTGATATAGCGCTTTTCACGTCAGGAGGACGTCCCAAAGCGCTTCACAGAACACACTGTAAAGTGAATTGACTGTATATTTGTGGGCGAATGCGGCAGCCAATTGTGCACAGCAATGTCCCACAAACAGTCGTAGATTGAAAATGACCAATTTTATTATTGGTTTTGGTTTTGTAGGGATTATTATTAGGAGTGTGGAGTAAGGAAACTTGCCCAAGGTTTCGCCCTGCCTGGAATTGAACTCAGGTCTCTCGCTTACAAAGCGAGTGCTCTAACCACTGAGCTACAGGACTAACCACTGTGCTACAGGTCTAACCGCTGAGCTACAGGACAAGGTGCGTATTGCACTCTGTATCTCAATGGAGGATCAAAGAGCAATATTCAAGCCTATTATCAGACTGCACTGAGCTAACTGTCTCTGGACAGATTTGTTCTGACCAGATTTTGTGAGATGTCAATGTTGGTTACTCCCACAGACATTTCAAAGTGGCCTCATCTCTATTAAAATCACATTTGGGACCTTTGTTTGGGAGAGAATGAGGGCACATTTAGCAGAAAGACATGCCATCCAAAGACAATGATATTGTAGTACAGCCTAGGGCAAGGCATCACGTGCTTACATCAAAGGTGTATTGGGAGGCATCAAGAAGGATGGACTTGGTGTGTCTGTTCCAGGCATTGTTGATAGAAAATCTGGAGATTTTTCTATTCGTAGATGATGTTGGGGGACTCACCTGGGATCTTACAGGCTGCACTCACGATCTTGAACATGAAGTGGGACATGGTCATGAATGATAATAATAACAATAAAATCCTTGCATTTGACACAGTGCGTTTCACATCAGGAGAACGTCTCAAAGCACTTCAAAGGATTTATTCTAAAGGTAGCAGTGGGATTTCTCCATTATAATCACTCATCACAAAGGTGCTACCTATTAACACCAACTGGGTTTTCAGCCCGATTCTTCCAATGCCATGAATTCCTATAATGGATTGACTAAATTCAAATCCTCCAAGAAGCAAGAGGGAGGGACCTTATTTACTGAGACTGTGTAAAGGAGGACGCAGTTTTGCTCAGAAGTACCAGCAAGGGTCTTTTGAGTAGCATGCTTAATGATAAACTCCTGGGAGAGGGTTGAAGGTAAAATAGGGTCTCCCTGGGATGGAAGTGCTCCAAGGCAACACACCTGCCTAGCCACGAAGGTCCGCAGCAAGCAATCCAAAGTACTGCTGGTGACTGATCAACCTGATTGCCTTGTCAACAAGACTTTGAGGTGCAGACGTGCCCTCAATCCTGTGAGCCAAAGCTCTAACTGGTAGGATGATCCTAGCCAGACAAGGATTGTGTTATGCACTCCCCAATATTGTTTGTGTAAACTAACTTTCCATTGCTGTCATGCTTCCTTCTCCCCCTCTCCCCTTTCTCTTTCAGGAGATTGATGGGAATGCTTTGATCCTGCTGAAGAGTGACATGATAATGAAGTACATGGGACTGAAGCTGGGTCCAGCCTTGAAGCTCTGCTACCACATTGACAAACTGAAACATGGCAAATTCTAACTCAAGGTGCAGCAGTTTTGCAATGCGAGCTGCTGACTGTTAAGCCAAACCTTCCCAGGTTGTGTGAAGGAGCACCAGCACTCGAAAACCCCTCTCTTGCTGTCCTTCAGTAATAATCCGGTGCCTGTGGTGGAGAGGAATTTGAAGGAATTTTAGAGGTACCCAAACTCAAGTGCTAGTTTCTGGGCAACTTCACTATTTGCCCTTTGCACACACTTGGACACACATACTCACACTCTCACACGCACACAAATACTTTCAGAGCAGTATTGGTCCTGAAGTTTTAATCACAGGTGCTGGAGTGAAAGTACCTGACAGTATATATGTGTTTGACTTTGCATCTTATCCTCTCCCTGTGGACTACCCTCTCCTGAGTGAGTAGAATCATTGTATAGACGTCAGATAGAAAGAAAAACCAAGCAGTGACCATTATGTAGCATGTACAGTACCGCACCAAGAATTTATAGTCATAATGTAATTTTAATTCGAAGTATGCGTTGCTTATTTTTCATTAAGAAGTCTTATTGAGAAATGTAAATAGGTGTATAATTCTCTTGTGCCACTGAAAAGATTGCAAAATTAACTCTTTTAAACCTTGTATATAATTACTGACTTACAGGTCTGTTAAAGTCCAAAAGTTAGTGTGAGACTGTATGCAGGACAGAAATAACACATTTCTACTATTTTTAGGGGTGCTCTCGTGACTGAAGAATTATGTTATATCATGTGTAATCAATCGGATTTGTTGTCAAATCTGCAAAGAATTTGGTTGCTCACTGGCTATGCAGTTGAACTCGATAACGCATATACTGTGGCTTCATGTAACAGTGAACCTGGGCATGTGCACATTGGTGGCAAGGTGTGGTTTGAAACTGATTTAGGTGATGTTTACAGGCAATTCTCTGGAAACTCTTGTAACATTTTCCAATCAGTGCACTCTTCAGTGGGATCTAATTTCCGTGATTCACAATAGCAATGGTTATATCGACTCTCAAGTCTAAGTAGGGAATTCTATCAGGAAGTGAGAGTGCTTCACACCAACCCCTGGGAACTCGGCCACATTCAGCAGAAAGACACAATGATTTCAGCACAGCTTAGGTCATTATGTCATGTGTTCGCAAACAAACTAAAGGAGGAATTCCGATCACCTTTTTTTGACAGAACAAAATCCTCATTGGTTGGAGTGGTACAGCTGCTGCAGGATTCCCTACTTAATCTTGTAATCGAATATTAGTGAATCCTGTTAGGAAATCATCACAATTTGGCCTGAGTGTTGGCCCTTGATTACCCCGATCTCCAGCTTAAATTTGCTAGACATCTCCTCTATGTAGAAATTGCTGTTTGAAACTAACACGGGTTAGAGATGACTCCAGTGCAGCTCACCTGAAGCTTGCTGCTGCAGTTTCTCATTATGTCAGTAAGAGCTAACAGTTTGCTTGTGCAACACATGGCGATGCTGATACTGGCATGGGTTTGGGAGCATCAGTCACCGTGATGTTTACTCAATGCAGCAACATGTTGAGCGGTTTTGCTCAACTGCCAGGGGGGATAGAAAGTGGCACAGATTTGGCACAACAACTCAAGAACATATTCAAGAGGAAAAATACCGTCATTCAAAACACCCTCAGTCAAGACATGTTTATTTAACGTGAAGCAGTTTTCTAACTTTGATGGTTTGACTGTCTGTTTTGCAACCACCTGAAGGAAGGGATGTTCAGTAACATTCCTTCCCTATTGCACACTGGCTAGTGTTACACAACTGGATACCTCTTGTAGCAATGCTACAGCACTACATGGAACCTGGGAACTTGAACTCTTGCTACTTTTAACATTAAGTGAGTAGGAGTGATTAACAATGGTGCTTATTTTACTTTGTTTTGATAATTGTTTTCTAACTCTTTAAACACCCACCCTGTGCCAGATCTCACTCCTCCACTGAGAGGGCAAACAGAGACAATCTGCTCACAGCTCTATGCTTGGGACGTTCCTGAGAAGCACACTAGGAAGCTTGTGAAAGCAGTCCAGTACTCTTTGACCTATTCTCTGTGCATTACCTCTCTTAGGTGCTTTAACCATTTCTGTTGAGATCTTGTGAGATCACCTGTCAGCCATGTTATAAGTTTTGTAAAAAGAATCACACAATTTCTATAAAATGACATTGAATCTGTTTTTAGTAAACTAGGAAAGAAATTGGATTTAATATAGCTCCTTATCCTTTATCACATCAAAGGATCTTTGCAGTAATGTACTTATTGTGTAGTGATTATTTTTGTATGAAACCTGAGAGAAAAGACATAGGGCGCTTTGGTTTAACATCTGAACCAAAGGACATCTGACAATGTAGCATCTCCTCCCTCCCCCCACTCCATAACTGCACTGGACCAGGGATGGCCAACTTGCAGCCAATGGTTACATGAGGACCGCAATACACATGCATAGTCACGGTCCGCGGGCTGCAAATTCACCATCCCTACGCTAGACTATGAGCTCAAGTTTAAGCAGGGCAAGGACAGTAGTTCTACAATAATAATGATAATCCTTGCATAGCGCTTCTCGTGTCTTCTAGACGTCTCAAAGTGCTTCACAGAATATACTGTAAAGTGAATTGACTGTATATTTGTGGGCGAAATGCAGCAGCCAATTGCGCACAGCAGTGTCCCACAAACAGTCGTGGATTGAAGTAACCAATTTATTATAGTTCTGTTTTTTCTACTTGCTTTCTTCTGCTAAACAAGTTGTTGAGTTTTGAAATCCTTATTTTACAGTACTTATAATGTTTAGACACAAAACAGATTCACGTGACGTTAGCATAATATCTGACAAACAGGTAGAGCGATTTAAAGAGAAGTTTTCATGATGGTAAGGTGTTCAAGTAAGAGCACTATGCTGTAATCTGAAGGTGACATGTTGATGTTAGGCTGTGTAATGATTGAGTGCAAGTTGTCACTCCAGATCAGGTCAGTTTTTAATCAGGATTGCTGATAGCACAGGTCAGACACTCACACTATAGCAGAGGCAGAATAATGCAGTCCAACCAATGTCACAATACATCTGAAGCGTTCTTTTGGAAAGTTCTTGCCTCAGGAACTGAGTCCCTTCAAACACAAGTTTTGCAATAAAGACTTGCATTTGTGTTGGGTTCTTTGATCTGACAGGACCCAAAACTGATTGATAAGCTATCAATTTCTACTCATCCTGATTAACAGTTATGATCATGCAGAATTTTGAAACATTCTTAAATCTTGGCTTAATTTGGAAGTGGGATTTCCGTAGTTATTTTTAAGCTTATCTTCAATGTTATGCTGATTGTCTTAGGGCTAAGACCGTAAGATATTTTGGGGCTCAAATGGGTAACAGTGAGGGAAGAACTGTAGCAAAGATACGCTTATAGTAGCATTAAGCAGAGATGTACACAAAATGCACTTTAGAGTAATTCAATAGGCACACAATGGTACAAAGTTGTGTAAAACATATTGTTTACATCACAGATTTCAACACAATACATCACTTCAAACTGGGGATGTTCTAGCAGCTAAATTAATTAATTCTATCTCTGAGGTACAAAGAGATAGGGAAATAGCACAGTGTAGGTTTGTGAGGATGATACCAGAGCTGGCACATTACTGCTGTCAGGATAGACTGGATAGGTTAGACCATGTTTCGCTAGTGAAGAAATGTTTAAGGGGGACCTAAAAGAAGTGTTTAAAATTATAAAAGAGTTTGACAAGGTTAACATAAATAGGCTGTTTCCACTGATGGGGAAAACTATAACCAAGGGGAATAAATATAATATTGCGACCACGGGATCTAAAAGAGAATTTAGGAGGAACTACTTCACGCAGAGGGTAGTGAGACTGTGGAACTCGCTGCCTGAAATAGTGGTTGAATCAGATATTGTAGATGCATTCAAGAGAAAGCTAGACCTTTAAATGAGGGAGAGGAGAATAAAAGAATATGGGATGGAATAGTAAAGGATGTGTGGAGACTCGTGTGGAGTATAACCACCACCACTTACTGAGTGGCCCATTTCTGTGCTGTACATTCTTTGTAAGATTAAGGAAACAGGCCACCTGACAATCCAGCTCCCCTTTACCTAGAGGCTGACCTGAAGGGTGAAGTAGCAGTACATTGGGACATGATACCGTAGGGTCGCATGACAAGCTCACATTGATCACACACCCGTCTTGATTCATTTCCTCAGCAAAAAAACAGGGTCACTGGGCAAGTCAAGGCTACCGTCACAGGCAATTGGATGTGAATTGTTTGAAGTGTAGCCACTTCTCAGATGAAAGAAAGCTGTTTTGTTTGAAATCTACCAAAGAAACAGGAAAAGGTATCTAATAGTACACTCATATGTTTTGTGTGAGTTGTACTATAGGTTACAGCCCTACTGTTTCTAGTTTAAAGACGGGTCATTAATACTGGAGTTTGTGTGCTTCTCAATAGCTCCTTTTCCCATGGTTATATATAGAGTATTTCCTTGTATATTTGTTTCTGTAATAATTGATATGTTGGTTAATTGGTATGCGAGGTTCAGTGATACAATGCAGGATTATGCTGCTGACAAGCCAAAAGACGAAGAGCTTCACTGGTGAAGTTAATGCCTGAATTCCTAGCACGGGCTATGTAAATGTGCCTAAATTAATTAGCAACTGACAAGTCAATCCAGTAACAACAGCAGCTGTATTTTCACTGTTTTTTGGAAGCATCTCTATTCTAGACCATTACCAACATACTGCAAGCGTTCAAGACACGGTCTGAGAATGCCAAAGAGTCTTAAGTGCACTAATCATGACTACTTTAAAGGACCTAGATGTTTTACTTGTTGACCTTTTTTATTGAAAGTTATTATAACTGAAATATATATCTTTAGCAGGTTTCAGTAGCATTTTCTATGGAAACGTTTTAAATGGTCAGCCTTTTGTTTAATGAAATAAATGAAATTGTTTACAGTGGTGCTAGATTCCATGCAGAACACTGTGTGGGGATTTGATTCCAAAATGCCAATCCTGCAAAACTGTCAACTACATAGATTTTTATAAAAGAATAATTTTATTTTTTAAAAGCACTTGTCGTTCAGACAGGATCTGAACTTTTAATCATTTCAGGTTGCCTTGGGTTTAGTTATAGCAGCTCAATTGTTTAGATCCTTAGAACTGCCAACACTGATGCAAAGGGTTGGATTCTCAAAACCTTATACATTGCACCCATTTGTTTGGCCTTTCTGCAAGTAAAAGGAATAAATGATGAACTGAAGTACTTCCGTATAATATGTTGAGATTCTAACTAGTACAATCAATGCTGTCTGTTCTTTCCTTCTCAGTTAGTCTTGAGTGGGCAAGTGGGATATCTTGCACGTGTCATTATCTTGCAATAGTATGTGGACCTCCCCTCTTCCTCAATAACAACAACTTGCACTTATATACTGTCCTTTACATTGATGGGGTAGGACACTGAGCATGGGAAAATTGGGAGGAGGTATATGGAAGTGCAA